ACGAATTACACTTCGCATTGCTTCAACACCTATCGGTTTCACTACATTTTGCCCCCAATATTTCTATTTGTTCGCAGAACCCTAAAACTGTTTCAAAGAAATAGAATCGGCTCCGATAAAAAAGTCATAAACGTAACACAGCCATATTTTAAAAGATCAAGCATAGAAAGTATAGAAATGTTAGAGAAGCGCTGGAATGATTATATTACTTTTGAAGAAGACTACTTTATTAGGTATCCTACGTACTTATCTACCGATAGTTATAATAAAATTTAAATATTTAATAATAATTTATTGTTTTAATGGTCAAATTTTTAAAAAAAAAAAAAAACAAAACTATTTACTAATAAAATTTATTTTTTCTCACTTATAATAAAACCACTTTTTTAACGACGTCTTTCTTTATAACAACTCTAATATTTTGTAATTTTCTAGACAATTTATATTATATACCAGTTCAGTACATAATTTAAGATTCTTTTAATAAATATGAAATTAAAAGTAAATCTCATGTGTTTTCAATTTGTATGTTTAAGAAATTTATTAGAACAAATGTACGTATCTAAAGTTACAACTGTCAGTTTTGTTTAAAATATATCGTTTTGGTTTTAGTGCTCAACAATTTTCTAACTTAAACTTTCCTAAAGTAAAACGATTTCGAAAAATTCCCCCAACAACTTTTATAGAAAATTCATTGCATTTACACTGAATAAACAAAAGAAAAAATTGAAATAAAATCCCTTCACGCATGACCACAAGCAATAAAAAAATCAAGTGTTACCAAATGCGTGCCACAGAATATAAGTGTAGCACCCCAAAGCACAACCCTTCACTCAATGACACCAATCCACATGGAAGCCTGTAAATATGAACCTTCACCAAAAATTTATAACCGCCCAGAGACAGTGTTGCGTCTTTTGTTTCGAGTTTTTGCAAATAATTTCAAAAAACGCAGTACATAAAAGGAAGGAGCAGAACACCATATTATATGTAATGTTAGCTATGACATGTACTGAAATAAGGCGAAATTGCTTAAAAATTGAATTAAATTGAAAAATTCTTGTGGACAAAACAATTTCTGCCATCACAAACACAATCACAACCAGCCAACGAACATATAAGCCACAAACCATGTTACTAGTGCGTAGGATATGGGCATGCCCATCCTCACACCCACTTGCCACAATGTTTAGCACAACAGTACGTATACTTAATAACGGATTGTATGTAGTCAATGCCGTACGCCAAATCCCAAGCGGTGTACGAAAATCCTTGCTCAACGACGTAATTGCGAAATACTTGCCATAAACTCGAACTGTAAAGCGCATATAAATTTGGTGCTCGATGGCGATACTAAACTGAATTTATTTTTGAGAATACGAACAGTTGGTGCATGCGGCAGACACTCCGGTTCTTACGAGAGATTTCTTCATATATTCCAAATCCATTTTTTATTTTGAAAAATAGTTTTTGTAAAATATAAAATTTGAAATAAGCAGTGTTTTGTGCATTTCGGAATTCATTCCCTCTCTGCACGCATATACGTTTGTATTTATAAAATACAATAAATCATAAGGTATTAGCCTTAACTCAGTTAGGGGAATCTTTTAACCATTTATATAATACATAATAACTTAACATGATAATAAACTAATAGCCAAATAAAAAAGTTAAGAATATCAAAGAACATCATTTCGAAATTGCTCAATAAATACTTAATACTATGTTCAGACAGCCAAATTTCCTTACTTTCGTAAAAATGAAATTAAGTTAATTTTGAAAGTGTTCACACTGTCTCAAATAAAGGAAATCATATGTTTTTTGTTTACACATCGAATGTTAAAAAATAGATGCTCCAAACACCATTTGTATCTGGGAAATTTAAAAGTTGATTATTATCACTATAAAGAATGACATTCAGTAATTTTATTAGGTTTAGTAGATTTCAGGTATGCGAATTATTGTTTTTTACTCTGTTTTGAATTTACAGTTCTTCCTCTATATTCAAATTTAAAAATTTGCACTAATTTCGAAATATTTCCCGGTTTTATTAAAGTCAGTTTTCATTGACATTAATTAAAAAAAAATTTCAGTTTTTCGTTATCTCAACTTTATCTTTTGCTTAAAATTTATCTTACGCATATGTGCATTTGAAATGTCCCTTAATTTCAGCCTTCGTTTAAACGAAATTAAGGCAATTTTCCTTAATTTCGTTCTAATCTTTAAACTGAATTTTGTATAAAAAGAACAACTTAATTTCACTGAAACAAAGATGGAATTAAGATTTTTGCAAAATTACGGTATGTCTGAACATAGTATAAGTTCGATTAGAATATAAAAGCATTACTTACTTAAAAACTGATTGCATTGTGATATAAACTCATTAAAGCAAATACACAACCTATCGTAAACGTTTTTAGACTATCTTAAAAACTGAGATAACTGTCTTTAGAAGAGATCATTTATTATTTATTTACTGTTATTTAAGATAATTATTTATTAATTAACCATACAAATTACTCTATATTCCCAGCTATAAATATAAATGCACAACAAGGGTACCAAAGGAAAAAAACAAAGAAAAATCAGGTTTTGGAATAGTTTTCCTCAACAAAATTTTATTTATATTTTAACCAACTGAAAGCGCAAAAAATTTAATGTAAGTCTAATTAATATTTAAAATTAATTTCAAATGTTTTTTTCTATTGAATAAAAAACCCCAAATGTAACCGAATTTAATGCTTCAAATAAATTTTATTCTCTTAGTTACAGTTCGTTCGATATTTTCCACGATCAGCTGAACTATTGGAGCTAAGATGATTGCATCTTTGAATTCATGTTCGTTTTTATATGGACACCTCAAATCTTAACTTTGCGAGGTTTCATTCTACGCAAGGCAATACACCATAATGGTCCTTTTAAATTCTACTACCTTCAGTTTTAGGAAAGAAATTCAGGAAATTCAATAATTCAACATCTAAACAACAAATAAACACAAGACATTGAGTTTCATGACACGCGTGATTTTTATTTTTTTGTACGTGAGTTTACAAAGCGTATTATAATTTTTAAAATTAATATTTTTACAACATTTTGTCACTTTTACGCGTAGACTCTGAATAAAAAAAACAAACAAATAAGTGTCTTGTTTGGAAAGTGTCTTGGAAAATCAAAGAAATTTGCTCAAGAAAATCCTACCATTTTTAAAGGCAAACTTTAGGATTAAATATCAAAATAACTAATGCAAACGATCAAAAACCGGTGACTCTCTGCAAACAATTTTAAAGCAAAAACTAACGACAAACAATGTTAAATAGAGTGTTTAGCAGTATTGGAAGAAAATTGTCTATTACTAGCTATGCCAGCCTGATTGATTTTGTCAACTACTCCTGCAAAACTTGACGACTTTAACAAAATAAGCAGGGTAAGTCGTCCGAAATCAAAAGATCACATACATCTTTAATGATTCGTCATGAATTTACGAAACTTGGTTAAGAAGTTTTAATATACCCAACATTTACCCTGGACCTTGCCAAACTCTCGTAATGGTAAAAAATTGACTAATCAAAGACCCGCTGAAAATTACTTAGACAAGTTTTTCGCCGGTAAATTACAAAAGTTCTACACCGTAGGAATTATATGGCTTCATGAAAAGAAGCAATCGCACATCTTTAATCTAAACTCCATTCGGTAACAATATTGCATGTATGTGTGACTGCAATAGATATGAAAGTAATGTAAAAGAGAGTATTAACACTTTTAACTTGAATTGGTATGTTTTAGTTATTAGTCCGCTATTTTATATACATACATATAAAACTGAAATATAAACAAGTTGCCCATATGATCCAAGTATGAACCATAATAATAATAATAAGCCTTGCTCGACGTCTATGATTTCGAGCAGCCTCTTATACTGGGCATAGGCTATCTATAAGTCGCTTCCACCTTTCGCGCTGCAACGCTACGTCCTTTATATCAGTAATGTTGTTTCTTCTTCTTACTAGGGGCTGCAAAATAGTGTTTATTTCATTCAACGTTGACCTTCTCCATGATGTTTTTCCTCTACTACTACCTTGCTGGTTGTATACCAGCGCCTGTTGACAAATTTCGGTGGAAGCCTTTTGAAGTGTATGACCGATCCATCCAAACTTTTTTTTACGAATTTCAAGGTTGACATCTCTAACATTTGTTCTGGTCCGAAGGTCTTGATTTGATATTCTGTTTGGCCAGAAAATACACAAAATTCTACGGAGACAGCGGTTAACAAATACTCTCAGCTTGCTTTGTATGTTTTCTGTAACAAACCAAGTTTCGCAACCATACAGGAGAACTGAAAGAATGCATGCTTTAAAGATTTTTATCTTTGTGCTTAAACTATAAGTATTAGAGCTCCACACCTTACGAAACCTTGTAAAAGCACCAAGGGCTTTCTTTATTCTACTTTCACAACTTGCGCTGTTCGTCTATTTTCAGACACAAAACTCCCTAGATACTAAAAATCATTTACGCGGTCAATGGTCTCCGTTTCCAACTTCAAAGGTTCGTCAATTCGGTTGTTTATTCGAACTCCTTTTGTTTTCTGTGCTTTGTTTTTTAATCCGACTTTGTTGGACTCCAAACACGCATTTGTCGCATTTGTCGTCAGCATAGTCCAAACACTCTAGCCTAGTGTTCGGTGAAAGTGGGTTCCATACAACAGCAGTGGGAAAAGGACGCATCCTTTAAGTATGCCAGAAATTGTACAAAAGGGCTCAGACAGTTTGTTGTCGTGTAAAACTGAGCACTTATTGTTGATCGTAGCTTCTTGCAGTTACGGAGACTATTTTAGCCGAGACACCAATATTTTTCAACTTTGCTAACACAGGATCTTCCGCTTCTGAAACCCGCATGCTCTGGTCGTAGTAGTACTTCAAAAACTTTTACCATTCTTTTAAGAATAATTTTAATAAATATTTTCATCACAGAACTTAGAACCGTAATGCCGCGCCAGTTGTTACAGTCACTTAGGTCTCCTTTCTTGGGTAATTTAATTACAATGCCATGCAGCCAGTCAGATGGATAAGTTTCTGTTTCCCAAATGATTTTAAAGAGTGGGTATAAGATATCCGTTGTTAATTGCAAATCAACTTTCAGCACTTCGGCCGGAATATTGTCAGAACCTGCAGTTTTTCCGTTTTTCAGCAATTTTATTGCATTGGTTATTTCTCTTTTTGAGGGATGATCACCCCTAATCGGTAACTCATTCACGTTGTCATTTAGCATTATCACGATACCATCGCGTTCTAGGTTCAATATTTGAATAAAATGTTGACGCCATCGGTTTAGCTGATCATTTACAATTGTCAGTAGCTCACCAAAGAGATTCTTGACAGGGAGGGTTCTTTTGACGCTCTCAGTAGCTCACCAAAGAGATTCTTGACAGGGAGGGTTCTTTTGACGCTCTCGCTTGTTAGTTTCTTTGTTATATGAACCTTAAGAACTTATTTAATATAATTCAAATGTAAATGTGTCTTAAAGAGCTAAGCGGTGTGACCTCACTAGTTTACATATAATTAAGTTATGATATCTGTGAAACGTTTTCTAAGTTTATTCTTTTAAGTTCTTTGTTATTTGCTTAGTGTTTCAAAACTCTAGTGTTTTCTCTCATCTAAAACTAAGTAAATGGAAATTTATTTTGTTGGGCACTTCTACTTTTTCAACTTTTCTTATTCGTCACTTTGGGGTTCCTTTGATGAAGACATCTAATCACTGCATTATCACTATATAAACTTTTACTTCAATATATGTACACATACGTATTAATTTGCTTTATTCTAAATTTTTTTCTCTTACAAAATTCTCAAATTTAATAATAATTTTCAAATCCAAGCAACATTAGCTCAACACTACTGAGACAAATGGGCACAGTCGAAAGGAAAGGAAAGGAAAGGAAAGGAAAACAACAACGGAATTTATTTAAGAAAAGCAATGCTTTCTGTTTTGTGAACTCGATTGTTTAAGTTTCCCGTTTAAATTAGAAAACTTTTTGCATATTTTCCTTTGTGTTTGTAGTATTTATTGTTTTTGTTGTTAATGTTATTATTATTATTCTTTTTCCATCTTAATAAAGTTGACAGTTATCATCATTCGCACACAAAATGTAAAAGTTAAGGACTTCTTTTTTCTAAGATTTTTCGATTTTTGACATGCAGCCAAGTTTATTTCGTAGAACGAAGGAAGCGCCATTTTTGACGCCATGTCTAAATATGTATTAAAACAAATGTACATGTATGTGTGTTTATTTAAGTATGTGTGTACGCCAACAAGTAATCATGTTTTCTGTCATTTGGTATTAATACATCGCAAATAATGAAATTAACATAAAACAACGTAGGAAGTGGAATTAAATAAAAAGTTCCGAGAAACTTGAAACAAAAGTTTTCATAAGATTTTCTCCAATTTTTCCATTGGAAACCTCCATTGTTTTATGGTAATTTAATTTTTTTTAATTTATGCTCAAAATATGATTTACAATTCAACATATAAGGCAAATGTATGTGTCCCAATTTCTTTTAAGGAATTAGAAAACATTATGCGATTGGGCTTACGTTGCGTATGATTAATGAAAATTTCTTTACGTCTTTTATAATGATTTAGGGTTTTTAAATAACAATGTTTTAATATTACTACATACTTTATGGGAATGTCGCGTATATCAAATCTGCTGACTCTACTATCCAGAAGCTACAAGTTGCTCAAAGTCAGGCTCTCCGAAGACTCTTCAAAAGGCAATGGTACACCGTACGAATGACATGCTAAGAGAGCTTAGAATAGATCCGGACAAAAAATACATAAGAGACAAAGCCCTGAAGCTATATTTGAAAACTGACAAGCTGCTCTACTTAGCACTATCTAATCTTAGAGTAATCACTTACCGCACGGGTAGGTACGCAGATCTTAGATCAGTCATTGAATAATCACGAAGCTTATAAGGAATACACATCCCACTCACTAGTCAATGAGATGGGTGGGACCCTGCAGAAACCAAAGGCTAAAAGTGCCCAGATGCACTAACTCGAAAAAGGCTTAACATACGTACTACATACTTTAGCGTATAAAGAAGAAATATATATTTAAATAAAATTAAAGTTGTAGTTGGAATTTAATAAACGCAGCGTTTTAATCATTTATGGTTCTAATATTGATAAAATGAATGTTTTATTGATATTTGTTGTACTTTTTAATTATAAACTAAATTTTTAGTTTAAACATTGACAACATATTAATTTACTTTCAACAAGCACACAAATATTAATTATTTTTTATACACATATATAATATTATTATTATTATTTATTGATTCAAAAAAAATTAAAATTATAGAATTTTACTTAAAATCTAAATTGAAAATAACACATTTGCTGTGTCTCAGATTGGCATACAAAAAAGTGATGCATATTATTAACATTATTATTCACATATAAATTCATCAATAATTAATCTTCTGTAACTTAAAATACTTTTCATAAATATACCTACCTATACAGTATATAAGTATTGCTACCGTTTAATAAGATTTTAACTTCTTCTTCGGGCAGAAATGCTTTGTCAAAAAAAATACGTCTATGTTCTCTGAAAATCGGAGATACCTACGCCAATAATACGAGTATGCCATATATTTTCCATTTCATGACAATTACACAAAGAACAATCAGGTTCAGATATATTAAATTCTCTACCGTTCAGATTAAAAATACCGCCTCTACATTTAAAAAGTAGGCTCAATATGTGCTGAATGTTTTCATAATAAAAACTATGCATAACGTCATATTGCAGCTGTGGGTAGATGTTATGAGATCCCGATCTAGTATTCGCGACAAAGGAATCGTGTTCACTTCGTTTGTATAAAGTTATAAAATTATTGTGTGATAATTTAAGATTCATACTCCCAAAACTGGTTATTGAAGACCCAGTTTTAAACCCATATTTTTTCAATTTTTGATCCAATATATTTCTTTGTCAATTATAAGTTCAGCTAGTATTCGAGGAAGCCTTGTAGAAGGGAGATTAAAAATTTTTCTTACATAGGTGAAATGTGTTTGTATTGTGTCTAAAAACTGCGTCGGTAAACCAGTTTCTAATTGAAGCATATAGTTTGGAGTGTTAGTGGGTAGAAAAAATATTTTTTTTATAAAAAATCTAAAAAGTTTATCCACTTGATCATAGTGTTTGTAACCCCAAATTTGGACACCATAAAGTATAATCGAACGTGCTGTCGTGTAAAAAATTTTCAATTTATTTATGAAAGTTATTTTAGGATTAGACAAGTACTTTGCGCACTTGGAATTAATTGCACTTTTACCTAAGGAGAGTTTAGAGGTAAAATGTTTATTGTAGGAAAGGTATACGCAATTAATATTCCGAGGTATTTATATTCATTGACAATTTCTACTTGCCTTTCTCCAAATTTCCACGACAACGAATTACCTACTCTAGGACCTTTTTTGAAAATCATTATCTTAGATTTATCTAGATTCGCGATAAGACCCCATTGTGAACAATACCTAAATAGATCATCCATCATAATTTGCAATACATCAGGTAAGTTCGCAAGTAAAATTAATGATGGGTATTTGGCAACACTCGAAACAGCTGTATGGTCAACCAAAAATTAAATTAATTTAATTATATAAAAAAAAATGTTGTTGTTGTAGTTCACTCCTTTTTAAAAACCTCTACCAAATATGCTAGTTTTTACTAAATATTTTTATTTATTTTTTTTTTTTTGTTTCATTATTCCATTAATATTACAACTATCCTAGATATCTAATAATACTTTTCACAAATGAAGTTTGGAAATTTGAGTCATCTTAAATCATCATTTAAGATAACATGTTAATAATAATTTGTATTGAAATTATTTCATACAGTTTGAATACATTTCATACAATTTCAATACATAAATAATTCTTTTTTGTAAAGAAAAAAATTTAACTTAATTTAATACGTAGGTTGGAAATGTACGTTTTAGACGTTTTTTGTGCCCTAGTGCCAAGGCAGGGAGTCTTCTCATTTTCAAGTTTGTGTGCTGCAGCAATTTCGATAAATGGTAAGCACTGCTTTTTTGAATTGTTTCATATATAGTAGGGATTTTTAGGTCTTGTGAATATCGTAGTTTGTGATATTAAATGTGGCGGTCACTTTCGTCATAACTGATGTTAAATTACAACTTAAAGTAAAATTAAATACTAAATCTACTTATTCAAAATTTATGAAATTTGTTTTAGATTTGATTTCTTTCTAATATAACACAGCAATAAACTTTCACAACAATTTAACTCAAAACTCCAAATTCGAACATAAAAGTCAAGTACGGCATTTAGTCAGTTAACTAATGAACGCTGACTCTCAGCCCTGATACTCCTTGTGATCTCAAAATTTTATTTACTAATAATTAAATACAAGAAAGAATTTCAAGACCACTGATGATAAGGACTTGACAATACTCTGCTGTATGGTCAACCAAACATTCAAAAAATTAAAATTAAATAAATGAATTTTAGTTGTTGTATTTCACTACTTTTCGAAACCTCTCTAACAAATACAATAGTTTCTATTAAGTAAAATAGTCGCTACTGACGTTAAATTATATTTAAAATTTGTTTTTGAAATTACGAGTTCTTCTTATATAAATATACTATCAAACAACTAAATATATGTATCAATTTAACCTATGTCTTAAGTCTATCAAGATTGTATATGATTCTATTAAGATTATTCTTTGTATTATTTACATAATTATTACTGAAAAAAAAAAAAAAATAAACTGCTTATTTGTATATTAAATATGCCAACATAATAAACGGTAATTGTAAAATATTTAAATTAAATTAATAATATATAACGCTGAAATATTTTTATATGATAGTTCAATGAAAAGCATTAATTGCAAAACAAAATAAAATTTAACAATGTTTAATCTTGATTGGTTGACCTTAAACCCTTTATTCAATATATTTAATAAAAAATAAAAAAAAATATTTTTATTTCAAAACATCGCAAAAAGAATTTAAATAACGAACACATTGCTTACTATATCGACGTATTAGGTTCAAGATAATCAGTTATCGACTAAACTAAGTACCTCAAATGTTATTATTTTCAGCGAGAAAATAAATTATATATACGCAACATACTAATATTGAACCCAACAACTCTACCAGCAAAGGTTTAAACTCTTATTTATACTTGATGAGATATCCTAACGCCAACTTCCATATCTTATTTCAAAAACTGATTATGTTAATCAAGTATTTAAATTCTGGATAGAATGTATGTCAATATATTGATATACATGAACATACACACACATATCTTTTATCACATCTAAAAAAATAAATCAGTCTCCTTTTTTTCATTCTACGAGGTATACAACAAATAACAGCTAAGTACCTGTATCCAACGCTATATGCATATCCAAATTTTTACTTGAACAACCTTTTGTTGCATTTTTTTTTAAAAAACCACTTCTAACATTTACTGCACTCTGAATTATCAAATAAATAAATATAAATATTCTGACATCAGTTTGCAATATCAATTTAAATTAAATTAAATTTTCCATACTGATATCCATGTTTTCCATATTGGAAAAAACTGCTCTGAATGTGTCATTTAAAGGATTATCATAAACTTGAAGCTTGAAGAAGATGTGACTTACCTTAGATTTAGATCTTAGATATAAATGGACCACATTACACTAGGTCAAGCAGAGAATACTGAGACCACTTTACAACGCGAATCAATTACTCATCGATAAGAGACATATCTGTCTTCATTCTGCAAGCACGATATCTGCTTAGGACTTATTTTAAGTATGTTGAAAATTTTCCATAGCTGATAAGATTGAAATGAAAATTAGTTGAATTAGACTTTTTATTCTTATTTCACTGAATTTTACAAAGACATAAAATTAATTTTTTTAACAGATTTATTTTTAGTGCATAATTTTATTTTAGCTTTTGATTATAACTACAAGTATGTAAAAATGTTTAACTTTAATTTAAATTCCTTTAGATTAAGTTGTTTTTGGATTAGTTAGTGATTTTAAGGATTTGTGTAAAACCAAAAGTTAACTTTTTATTGTTAATTTAAAACTTTTCAAACATTTTCTATATTCATAATAAAATAATGGATTATAAAACAAAACTTAAGAATTTCATTCATAATTACTGGTTATCTAAACTTACTGATAATCATTTCTGCTTATTTTTTTTTACATAGTTTCAAATTGAACTATCTTTCTTGCAAATAATTTTATGTGAGTCTTCCATTTCAATATTTATCTTATGTTTTACATACATATATCTGATATTACATTATATAAATCACTATTAATTAGTTTTTTTTTTGTGTAAATGCACACAATATATATGCTGTAATTATCAGAATATTATTTTATAATCTAAACTCAAAAGATTTCTATAATCTGAACTCATGAAAAAATTAAAATTGGATTAAGTGTTAGGTATTAAAAACTAATATCGATGATTAATGTCGTTAGTAAATAACTTGATTACACTCATATATTCATATTGGACTAACCTAACTCTAATATCCACCAAACGAATATACGAATTGCAGTATATTTTTTTTATCAAGACGTCTTCGTGCTTTATTAGAACAAATATTAGAACCCTCATTTTGCGAGTAGTAATCGTATCCAAAATTATCCAAGTATTTTTATTATGTTTCGTATTCATTTTTTTTTTTGGTAAATTAATATAAAATTTATTTTGTAATATAACTTGTTTACAACATTTATCTGTTGACATATATCTAATGAATAAAATGTGCAAAATATGTCTTTTGTTTTAAACTGCAGTATATCTCTTTTATAAAGACAGTATATCTCTTTTATAAAGACGTCTTCCTGCTTTATAAGAACAAATATGAGAACCCTCATTTTGCAATTAGTATATTCGTTCGGTCGTTACTAATCTTTATGTACTGAAATCATCTTAGTTCTATATAAAATAACAACAAAAATATTATTGATAAGATAATTCTAACTAGACATAGGAAATATATTTGATTAAATCATTTATCATTCTATGTCTGCTTCCTTATCAGTTAATTAAAAAAATTTGCATTCAAAGTGTTCAAATTTTATCTCACACGGTCTCGAATGGAAGAAAAAAATTTTACTAAGTGCATATCGACACTTTTCACATTACCTATTTTAAAATATTACTTTCGATTTCATTTAATTTTGCTGGAAAATCTTAATAATGATTACAATCTATAAACTTAATTTTCTTTTCTTTTTTTTTGTTTTTTTGTTATTATGTTAACTTTTCCCCCGTTGCACATAACAACGAATTCATCAGTATACTTGGCTTCCGCTTTAACTGTTATTGCTGGAATAACTGTTGTTGATGCTGGTGGTATTTCCTTTTATCTAATTAACAATCTGACGCACAATATCCGGCGGAAGCATGAAATTTTGCTTCCGCAATGGAATTTCGCTCAGTTGACGGTCGATTGGTTGGCGTGTATCATATAAAGAAGGCGATTGGCATATTATAGCGAAAGTGCCAAAAACGCAGGACAGCGTAAAAGTCAACAAAAAGAAACGATCCAAGACCATCGATACAAATTTCCAATCCTCGACAATCTACAAAAAAATTTAGTAAAACAAAAATTATAGAAATAACGAAATGATGGAAATGAATTTCACAAAAAAAAAAAAAATATACAGTGTAAATCTGAAAAATCAAAATCGATGAAATTTAATTTGAAATACATTTTTTGAAGTGGGAAAAACCATTAGGGAGTGATAAAGGCACACATACAGCACACAAAGCACAATAAGAGACTTTATTACTTTTTTCACATCATCAACTCTATTTGACTATTACATAGATTCACTTTTGTCAATATCCTCAAACTCTTCAATATTCGATATTTGCATTATCTCCTTTTTTAATTATGAAATAATACTTAAATCGAAACTAGTGAAAGAAATTATAAATATAGGAATCATTTGTGCAAATCTTTAAAATTCTTTCATTAAGTAAAAAATTCGCTTTTAATTATATTATTCACAAACGCTTTGTACTCGTATTTATATTTCGAAACAGCAATTCTCCACGTTCCAAGCACCCCAAACATTTTCAGTACCAACGTTACAAGGATTGTGGTACTTGCCACAATCCTTACTTCGTATTCAATACAAACCAAACCCTGTAATTCATTGAAGTGTTTTCACTTCACTTCGCCTTTTTTTGTGGACGAGTATATTTGTTTGTAGTATCTCTGGTCGCCTTCTTCATTTACTCTATTTTGGATTGTACCGCTCAATTCTTGGCAAATCCAAAAGCCAACTTACACAAAGTTAATGCAACTTTTGTTTTAATTCAGAAAAAAATCAATTTTTTTTCTTTGCTTGAGTGGTATTCACCCGTAATGGGTATGAATCCTTTAAAGCGGTTGTATTAAAATAAAAATGGCCTCTGGTTGTACTGAATGTGGTTCATTCGTTGCACTAATGAATTTTAATGAAAAAAGCAACAACAACTCAAAAAAGACTAGCATAAATAAAAACAGGGAACACAGAAAAAATGTAAAGTGGCAACTCTAATAATGTTGAAATTTATTCACTGAAATACATAAACAGAGATTTAAATATTCTTAAAGCCTTACGAAATTATTTTTCCTTTAATTTTTTTGTAAAAACTTACTTAAAAAAAAATAAATTTTATTTGAGTTTCTATAAATGTCAACCAACTTCTAGATACATAATCCACATACTATAATGCGAAGGTAAACATTCAAACTGCTTAAGTAGTCCTGATCTTTACTCAATATACGATTTCTTTAATGAACAAGAAAAATTCAACTTTTAAGAGTATAGAGTCATCGAAGCGATGTGGACCGATGTAAAGTGGGCTGCATATCAAGCGAAGACGCCACACCTTGATTATTGCCATTATTGTTGCTTACTATGCTGCTTGTATATTCGAAATGTATTCGAAAGTGGAGTTTATCGAATCTTCTCTGAATAGTTTAATATACCTAACATAACTTTCAGTAATATGTTCGTTTAATGGATATCGAACTACGGAATTTGAGACTACTATATAATAATAGTTAAAATGCTGTGCAAAAAATAAGACAATATTTTCCTTTAAACAAATTTGAAACCAACAATGCAAAACGATTGCAAATCATCTTTTGAGGCAGAAGGTTAAAGAGAAAAAAAATAGGGTTTGAAATATAACTAGTAAATATTTAATTGTAAAAATTTTCAAACTTCTATAACTATAATATAGTATATACTATATAGTATGTGGGTAACTATAACCTAGTATGTAGGTTAAAGCTGTTATGATGAAATTAAAATGGCTAATTAATTGTTTCATGTGCAAGATCTAGATTAACCTCTTTAATTATGCTATAAGCTTTTCTGTTAAAATAAATTTATAAGCTTTTCTGTTAAATTAAATTTATATTATCAATTAATTTAAAAATAACACACTTTAATAATTGATAAAATCTCTACCGAATGAAACTTTACTTTCCTTTAAAAAAAATTAATAAATATTGGGTATATATATCAAAGAGGCGCTATGCTCCAATAGGAGATACAGGAATTGATGATGATGATGTTGTCAAAGTAATCTTATAATATATATTTATATAATAAAAAACTGGTTAAATTGATAAACTCATTTCTTATATTCCTATCTTCTCTTCTTTCTTTTATTTCCTCAAAATTAAAATGATCATTTAGTAACGTACTTTTGATACCTCAAATAAAAATAAATATGCTTACAGCAAACAATTAATATTTTATTGTGGTTGTAGCTCTGAAAATGGGGAAGAAACTGTACTCCATCACATGTGTCAGTGCCCATCTTTAGCTAGAAGAAGTTTTAAAATCTTCGGGGCTCCTTTCCTTACCGTTATGTCTCAGCTGTCACCTTGCAAAATTAGGAACTTAGCCAAGTTCATAGAACTGTCAGTTTAGTTTATCTTTACATAATGGGGGAGTCGTTGCATTCTTTGGCGAATGGTTTTATACTGACATTTAATCTATTTAGTAACATAGATTAAATGTAATTTTTACCTAATAGAGGAGTCGTTGCCTTTTTTGGCGAATGGTTGTATACCATCACATGTATCAGTGCCCATCTTTAGATAGAAGAAGATTCAAAACTTGCAGTGTCATTCTGCAAAATCAGGAACTTAACCAAGTTTATAGAACTGTCAGTTTAGTTCATCTTTACATAACGGGGGAGTCGTTGCGTTCTTTGGCGAATGGTTGTATACTAACATTTACTCTATTTATTAACAAATGCCTATCCTGTGGTACCACAACGAATCATTATTTGTGCTCAAGTGGTCTTTCTATCTTTCTTGCGTACAATGCCGACACTCCAACCTAACATAACCTAGGCAATAAACGAAAAGAAACTTCGATTGAAAATCTCTTAAATTACAGGTATCTTAATGTTGCCAAATTTATTTTATTTGATGTACAAAAGTTTATAATAGGTTCATAGCAAAAAGTCTATGAACCTAAAGTGGACATAATCTCTCAACCAGAAGTGAAGAAACCGCTGTTTATCCATATCTTAAGAACTGGTCGGCAAACTTATTATTATTGTAATGCCTTTTTAGAGCGTAGCGAGCATAGATAATCGCTGAGACTTCTAAATAGTCATTTAGAAATGACAGTTTAGTATCTTAGTGGGGTAGTGTATTTAGTCTAGTATTTTTTCGTCATTTTTTATGTATTTTAGATAAATTTAAATTAAATTTATTTTCTCTGTCCACATTTTGTTGCTTTAAAATAAATTTAAAGGAATAAACCTTATTTAAAGCTTCACATTGAAATTGTTTACAAGAAGATCTGTTGGCATTTATCTTATGAATAAAATTTGAAAAATATGCCTTCAGTTAATATTATTTCCCTGAGCAATCAATATGCAAGCATTGAAATAAAAATCATTTTGAGTTCGCTCGTTTTTATTGCCCGACAATTTGACTTCACCACTGCAAATCAAAAAAATAGACACGCAGACAAAATATTATTTATGTTTATTTACACTAGGAAAGGGCGGAGAATTGTACGAAATATGTTCACAGCCGCAAAAGTAAACAAATAAAAATCGTGCATAAGGACAAATGAAATAAAAAGTAAGAACAATAAGATTGACGAGAAAAGAAAAAAAAATAATAATAAAACCGAAATATTATTTTCGACGCTTCGAGACACAGAGCCAAACACAATGAGTAATAAAGTCAAATATATATACACCTACCTCGTTATCCTTGTCAGCATCCTTGATGTGTTGTGCAATAAATCTGACCGCACGTAATGCCTGCAGGACTTCGGGTGTTAAGTTGCGCGGAATCACATTATCGGAATCTGTCAATATAAAAGATTGAAATAAAAAACCACAAAAATAGAAAAAATATATATAAAAAATGGACGAAATGGCAATAACAAGGACACGTGCCGCGCTTTGCGTAAACAACAAAATTGAAATAAATAAATAAGCATTTGACAAAAATGTAAAATATTATTAAACCTTCCCGGGCCAATTTTCATTTTTAATGTGCCACTTTTCCAAAATTGCTTATAATTTTTGTGGACATATTTGCATATTTATTTGCTTTAAAGCCTCCCATCAAATTTTCTATTTCTTCCCTATTTGAACACTTACCAATAGAATGTGCTACACCGTTGTCGTAGGTTCCATCCTGGCTGTCCTTAAACTCACTGGGAAAATCGCTAATACTATCCCTGTAATGTAGCGTTACAACAATTAAGCAAAAATTATTTTCGTTTGTATTTTAATGATTAACTTTAGATAATGAAAACAATTGATTATGCTTATTAGTAAAATTGTAATGAGTTTTTTATTATGAGTGATAATGCTTGAACTTGAAATAAATCATGAATTTATTTATAGAAGTTTTGAAAAGTCGAAGAAAAAATTATAGAAAAAATAATATATGTACATGAGTTTCATCAAAAAAACAATTGATTTTTCAGCAATAAAGAACAATAAGTCGCGAATGTGTTGATTTATAAAGAACTTTGACTTATGGACCGAAACTCCTCATGAAAAATACAATATACATGGACAAACTTAGAGGCCAATTAATATAGGAAAATCTGCCAAATAATTCAGCAAATATTACAGTTCCTAACTTATAACAAATAAGATAAACTTTTGTTTAAAGGAAGAACATTGTAGAAAGTTGCAGCATCAGATAACAATCACAAATCCATACAGCGGTTCAGAGATAACACTATGTCATCTACTTAAAACAAATAAGTAAAAGAACCCAGACTGAATATAATTTTTTATAAATGATAAACTTAGGTAAACCATCTATTAACAACTATCGCTGATAAGGTGAATCTCTTGCTATATACTCTCAACATAACATTTCATGACATTTGGACGAATACAAGCGTGTGAAATGAGGATATACAAAGAGCTGTCGTTATAATGACGGAATAATCTGATTAAACTAAAAAATAAGAAAAGAATATTATATAATGCTAAGAACAGGAAGCTGATATATAACCAAATAATTCGTACGTCACTTCTATATGGATGAGTAATGTTTAACAAAGCTTCATACACTACAATTCGCCAGCTAGAAATTGCACAAAGCCAGGCTCTGAGAAGATTTTTCAAGATACTATGGCACATTAGAACAAATAACATCCTTAGGGACCTCAAGATTGATTCGATCAAAAAATACATAAAGGATAGAGCCCTGCAATTATTTGCGAAAACTGACAGACTTACCAACACCGCTTTATCAAATCTCAGAATGGTTACAGGCTCCTCGGGGAGGTATGCAGATCTAAGGTCAATTTTTGCTTAGTCTGATGAAGTTATAAAAGTTAATCCAGTCAAGGCGTAAAGAGGGATTTTGAAGATATCTCGAGTTAATAAAGAGTAAAAGTGCGCAAGTGCACTGACTCAAATAGCTTCAACATAAATAAATAAGATATAATATCTTGGATATTATACTAAATAAAGTTATCAATTTACCATCTATTTAATCGATAGTAAATATTTTTAAAAGTTTTTTACTTAATAGCGTAAACTAGATAGTTAAAAATTTCTGTCAGATCTCAAGATCAACTTAATTCAAACTATAAAGGAAACATACCAGTGTACTGCTTCAACTAAAGTGTAAACTGTTCAGTACTTCAACATCAGTGCCGACGGATCACTGTTTATTAAGAAGATATACTATGAGACTGAGTCTACCCAATAATAACTTTTGTCAGGTTTGTCTAATTGGCTAAGAGAAGATTAAAAATCTTTAGATCCCTTTTTCTTATTGACCTGACAGTCCTGTCTACTGATTACTTGTCTGATTGGTTCACTTTCACTTTAATAGGGAGTCGTGCCTTTCAGCGGTGTTCGTAATGGAAGATTTCCAATAGAACTTCATATTAATAATCAAAGTTGATAATGTAAAAAAAACCACTTGTTGATACAGCAAAGGAAACCTAATTTACCCTATGAACCTATTTAAGTCAAATTTCCAGAAAAGGAACTGGAAGCTTAAGATATGGCAATGATTGTGAATAGTTATAATAAAAATAATTAGTAAAAATGACTTGTAGAGGACGACTTCTAATAAAAGCTACGCTAAATCGTTAGAGTTAAGAAGATAATGTGAACTTTATAAAAAATAAGACGTTAAGATAAGTCAAACTTTTATCACCAAGGAAGGACAGTTTGGCGTAGAAAATTGTTTTAGACTATACGCTATTAACAGTAATAAATAGTAGAAGGAAGGACAGTTTGGCGCAGAAAATTGTTTTATTAGACTATTCGCTATTAACAGTAATAAATAGTAGGTACCGACGTTAGTATTGTAGAAAATAAAATGGGAGTTGTATTAAAAACTACAAAAGTATAGCATTGAACACCCTTGTTTGAAAAGTTTAAGAATGATGCTATAATATGGCAAAGACAAATGAACAAATACCAAAAGGAGAATGATGAAACCGATGTTAACTTATCTATGGTTCCATAATGTACCAATCTATTCTTGAAAATTTATAAGCAACGAAAGGATGTGTTAATGAGATTAAAAATAGATGAATTAAATATATGGGTCATAACTTTGCAATATATAAGTCAACCTTATATTATATGTATTGAAAAAGTATAGAACTCAAGGAACCCGTTCTTAGAAACTGAGTGGAAATGACATACAAATAGTTATTTACAAAATAATGAAATGTTTATGTTTTATAAATATTGTAATGAGCTTAATCAGAGTTCAAAAAAAACAAAAACTCTGAATATGAGATATACACCATATAAAAAATTGTTTAAAATAATATGTAGGAGTAATCTTTGTTTTGAAATAAAGAAAAAAATTATTGTAGAATCTACAGAAAGAATTAGAAATAGATTATTATTTTTTCAGCAATAAATTTGGATATATATTCAATTTAAAAAACACGTCATATAAAAATACGCTTTTAATAAAATTCTCTTACCTTACATCAATTTCATTAGTATACCCATTACTAGGCGTGGAATCATCATAATCCGGTAAAGTGTATTGTGTACGACGCATCATCAAAACTTTTGGCATAAAGTGTAAAAATAGTTTGCGAAACAGTGGTGACATTTTATGTGTCGATGGTGATCTAGAAACAGTATTTAATTATCTTCATAAAATTTTGTTTAATCAATCAAATTTCAATGCACCAATACTCCATGGTACCCATAAGAGCGTTATTTTATATGAGAATATTTTAATTGCGGGCGTAGCAGCTAACTTACCTAAAATGTATATTCAATACACACACAGTCGTCCAAACGGACAATGAGACCAGTATCATAGTAAATAGTAGATATTTCCCTAGAAGCGGTACGGCCAAAGATGTTGGCGGAATAATTTCAGCCAACAGCAAGAAGAACACAGTCAATGACACAAGTATGGAAATACATAACGTAACCTGTCAACGAAACGTAAGCGTGTAGGTTTGGCATAACGTTCAGATACGTTGTCAGCACGTATTGACCACCGGCATAGTGTAATTCGTCCACCAAACAAATAATAAACAATAGCCAAGTTAACAAACAAGCAAAAAACACGTCTTAACCAATTACAACAAATAACAACAATCGGCAAAACATTTGTACTCGCCTTATCTGTGTACAGATAAAGCATACAAAGTTTTTATTAACATTTTTTTCGTAAAAAAAATATTAATTTTAAATTTTGTTTAATATATTTTAATTTTTTAATTTCAAAATAACAATAACAAAAAAACTACACGTAATTTGTTTGATGGGATTTGTTCATATGCATGATGAGTGCACCCAATTAAGCAAAATCATATGGGAAAAAGTGTGTTGTGGTTTATTTAAAACTATGGATGAACTATGGACGAACTATGGACGATATTTTTATGTTATATACAAACTGTCTTCGACATGCAGACGTAAAAAAACATTTAGCAGTCGGTCAGATCTATGTTGGGATGAAGGGATTATTTAGTCAAAAAACGTGCTAGGAATGGAATATTCCTTTATAGAGTTTTTTGGGAAAGACAACGATAGAGCTGCACATCTGTCTTATCATTGTCTAACAAATGTGAAATATAAGTTATAAATCCATAGCAACTTACACTCTACAAAATCTTAACAACTATAGAACTTTCCTTGAAAACAATTTCATGCGTCGCAACAGATTCCAACCAAATGTAAAACCGCTGAGTTTTATATGGCTATGGTCTATACAATAGACCACCAGCCGTTAAAATTCTCTTAGGTCCACCATGAGAATTTAACCTAGCCAATATGAAATATATTTAATCAAAATTTTATTGGTATTTTTATTCAGCTGGCGCTAATTGTAGTGCTTTTTTTTTAAATTTTCGAAGAGAAATCTAGAAACATTTTTATTATAAATTATTTTCTAAAAATATATACCAACATGTCGCCAAACTTATAACATTTTTAGTTGTTATTCGGCGGTACTTGAACATTATAGTGCATATAGCTTTTTCAACTATTCAGTCGTAACCTTTATCATTATAGACCCATTCATTTAGAGTTTCCTTTAAATTATTTAAATCTTTATTAAGTTGACGTCTCTTCCGCAAATGATATTTGGAATATTTTCAAATTACGACAGTCAAACAATTGTTAAACAAAAAAGTTATATATCAAAATATATTTAAATAGATGGATTTACATAAGAACGTGTTTACGTAAAGTGATCTTTAACCTGGTAATAGTTAATAAGGAGTATATATTATTTTTTGTAATATATTTTGATTAGAAAGAATATACAGCTCAACACTTAACGGATATTTTTTATGAATATTTAAAATACCTAAAGATATTATGTTTGCATTAGGCATTTTGTACTAAAAAGTACTGATTGATCGATGTAATAGTTTAATATAATACAGTGTTAGGAATTTTTAGTATACATTAGAAAAAACATATTAAATTGTAAATCAATTTGATTAAAAATAAAAACAATCATTTACAATTTTACATGTATAAATTTATTAAATTCTATCTGCTTAATTATTGTAAGAAAGAAGATACAGATGCCAATATTTTCTCTGCATTATATTTACAACTTTGATAAGAATCATTTGACAAACCAATAAGCAATCCACATATCTGTCAAAAAAGATATGCATCTGGAATGATATCGTACAAGATAATTAAACATACTTTAGATTTAGTTCTTCTTCATAATTTGCGCAGTAGGCTTTAAAAGGAGCCCTTATTAGGTCACAATGTATACTATATATTTTTAACAACCAAGTTCAATAAGACTGTAGGAATAAGTAAAAATCCACAAAAAAATGAACCGTATATTATATATCTTCCATAGTAAATTCATCAACGTATAGGTCTGAGGTTTTCTCACTCATACATATGTTATGTCTGAAGTGTACAATATTTGAATATCTGATCAAAAGATCAAAAGATCTTTCAGATCGCAGTGCATGCGTAGCCTATCCATTTTAATGATCATAATATTTAAATATCATTATATTTTAAAAGCTGCAAAATATTTAAATACTATTATTTTTTTCTTGTTTAATTTTAAAGAAATATATATAAGAGAACTATATATATGAGAAA